ACCAGTAGAAACAGACGGTTGTTGATCACGTGACTCCTGTGATGTGAAAAAAGTGTTTCCATTGCAGTTTTGTGAAAAACACCAATTTCGATACGGCCGAAATAACACCTCATCCTAGCACAAAAACATTTTGTCGAAAAACAATTTTTTTTATTTGAAATTGACGTGTTTCCAAATAATTTACCAAATGCCTATCACAGCTTGTTTTGTGTTAAAATAAGTCTTAAATTTTATGTCAGGTGGCATTAAAGAGGTCTTAAAAAGTCTTAAATGTAACTCACCTTAAGCTGTAGGAACTTTAACCTGAACTCAAATGTAATCACAATGAGAATTCATTTTATTTCTATTATTTTTAATGGGAACATTTGGTCAAAATACAAATGTAAACAGATAAATGAGCTGTTGGAACAGATTCAAAGTGTAATGGAGGTTCAGAAGCTTCTGACTGAGTGGAGACGTTCTGGAAACTTCCTCATGGAACCATTGGTCTGCTCCTCACTACTAACCTGAGGCTACAGGCTGCGGGGCCAGAGGGTCAAATACACCAGGGTTCCTCTGCAGATATAAGGATGTGTTTGTGTGTGGTAGGGATGCTGATGCGTCGGGTGCTGAACGTTTCTCTGGCTCTGCTCATTGGCTACCTGAGCCTTCCTGTGGTCCTGAACCTGCTGAGCTCCAGGCAGATGATGAACACGTCCTTCGACCCGCTGCGTCTCGTCAACACGTACGGAGCTTTTGGCAGGTAGAGTCAGGACGGAGCTGTTTCTATTGGTTCTACACCAGCAGGAGGTTTCTGGGGTCTCTTTTATAAAGGATTGCGTGGAAACCATACTAAAAGTGAACGTACGGCCAAAAGGCAGAAATGGCGTACGCCAAAAAAAATTCAGATTTATAAAACCGTGCGTACGCATGTTTCTGCGCATCTTTCCTTTATAAATCACAGCCGCACGTCAGAGTTTGCGCACGGTTAATGATTTTTATAAAAATCTCAGCTTCAAATTAATTTTCTCACAGAGCCTGGATGATAAAAACAATAAAAATTTAATTATATTAATCAGATAAAATTAAAAGTAAGTCCACCGCTCTTCTCCTCGTCCGGTCCCCCTCCTGCCTGCTCTGTTATCCGCGGCAGACCTCCCCCCCGCCCCGCGCACACACACATGATGCAGCCCCCACCACGCGTGACAAATACGGACTTTAAACATGAAGTTTTATAACATCCACACTGGTGAGGTGGATGCGCCCTGCATCCAGGGCCTCTGTGGGTCAGGGAGGGGTCTGTGGGTCAGGGAGGGGTCTGTGAGTCAGGGAGGGGTCTGTGGGTCAGGGATGGGGTCTGTGGGTCAGGGAGGGGTCTGTGGGTCAGGGAGGGGTCTGTGGGTCAGGGAGGAGGGGTCTGTGGGTCAGGGAGGGGTATGTGGGTCAGGGAGGAGGGGTCTGTGGGTCAGGGAGGGGTCTGTGGGTCAGGGAGGGGTCTGTGGGTCAGGGTCGTCTGAGGAGGAAGCAGATGAATGGAGTTGAGCACGGGAACTTTTATTTAAGATTTAAGTTTTTTTATTTCAAAGGTCCTCATGGCTCAGCAGCAGCAGCAGCAGCAGCAGCAGCAGCAGAAGCATAAATATTACTGTTAATAAATCTGATGATAAAGTTGAATAAAAATCTAAGTCTGATGAAGGTAAATTAAATATCTGACAGTGATCATTACACAGTGTGGCTCTAATTCCTCTCTTCACCATCTGTGTCACAGTTTCATGTCTCCAAAATGAGCGTAGCATGGGTCAGAGCTGTGAGGCACATTTTCACATCAAGTTTGGATTTTATAAATCACAACCTTGGCGTAAAAAGTGGCGTACGCAAGTTTCTGGGCTCAAATTGTGCGTACGCCAGTTTTATAAATCTGACCCCTGTTCTGTTTCTGTTCTGTTTCTGTTCTGGTTCTGTTCTGGTTCTGTGAACACACCACTGAAGCTTCATTATTCATCTAACAGATTCTCCCAGGAGTTTTGTGGCTTTTCTGTTAATTTAAGTCTTATTGGGCCTCATGCAAGAACCGTTCATACGAACAGATTCGTTCTTAAGTTGTGCGTACGAGTGATTTAGGAGAACTTATCATTCACCAATTTTCTCGTAAGATTTTTTTTCAGATATGAACAAAATTCACGAGTGGTCCAGACCTGTCGTATATTTTACCAGCAGTCAGTCTGCTGTTATCCAGACGGGTTTTCTTCACTAATAACTTTATATTTCATTAGTTTGAAGATATTTAGAGCAGCGGTGCATGACTGCTGTTCTGAAGAAATGAAAACTATGTAACACTGTTGTTTACACTTAAATGAAAAATATTTGACCAAAGAAAAACCGGAGCAGGACTAGAGAGAGATGAATGTTTTCATTTTCATTTCATTTATTGTTTATTTGAATAGGGACAAGTGTCAAGCATTAACAATACTCTACACTACAACATTTTTAGCCAGAGCTAATTTGCAATGTCCGTCCCTAGATGGGCTTTTAGCAACATGAAATAAAAGTATGAAATACAGTTAATAAAAACATCAAAATATTAAAACTCACTAAAAACTCATAAAACCAACTTAAAACGATTTTTATTTTTGTTTCTGTGACTGTATATGACCCACAGGAAACACGACATTAACATTTCATTCCTCGGCTTTAAAGCAGCTCCTGTAGTTCCACAGCTGACGCTGCTAAAAATGACAGATTTTCTTCTCTGGATCTCTGAGAGCAGAACTTCAGTCTCTGAACTTGTAAAGTTTTTCTTTTTACTTTGTGATGTCATTTATGAACAAACACTTCCTGGTATGTGGGGCAGGAAACGTTACCTTATTTGGTGTTTTTGGGGTGGTAATTATGTTAATCTCCTCTCCTCGTGCACGAGCAGCTGATACACATTCATCAGTTTACACTGCTCATTAAAACACTTTTCCTGAAGATAGAAGAGTTTGTTGAATCTGACTGAATGTTCGTACGAACCTTCATACGAACAAAAGTAAGAGAAATTTAGGAGAAGAATACGAACATGTTCTTGCATGAAGCCCAGTGTTTATAATCTGTGTCCTCCTCACTCGTCTTCATTCAGTCACTCAGTCTCCAACAGTCTGCTGACACCCGACACTCTTTAACATCTTTTTGAAGTGATGCTGAACGTCTCCTGGTGTTTAATCATCTTGTGCACCCCATCCTCCGTGTTTGCAGCATCACTAAGGAGCGGACAGAGGTCATCATCCAGGGCACTCTGAGCCCAGACCCCAAAGCCCCCGAGGCAGTGTGGGAGGAGTACCAGTTCAAGTGTAAACCAGGAGATGTGTTCAGGAGGCCCTGCCTCATCTCTCCGTACCACTACAGGCTGGACTGGCTCATGTGGTTCGCTGCTTTCCAGGTCGGCTCATTATTCTGAGCAGCATGTTGAGTCTTCTGTTGGCTCCTCCTCCTTCTGTTAGCTCCTCCTCCTCCTTCTGTTAGCCCCTCCTCCTTCTGTTAGCTCCACCCTCCTTCTGTTAGCTCCTCCTCTCCTTCTGTTAGCTCCTCCTCTCCTTCTGTTAGCTCCTCCTCCTCCTTATGTTAGCTCCACCCTCCTTCTGTTAGCTCCTCCTCCTCCTTCTGTTAGCTCTTTCTCCTCCTTCTGTTAGCTCCTCCTCCTCCTTCTGTTAGCTCTTTCTCCTCCTTCTGTTAGCTCCTTCTCCTTCTGTTAGCTCCTCCTCTCCTTCTGTTAGCTCCTCCTCCTCCTTATGTTAGCTCCACCCTCCTTCTGTTAGCTCCTCCTCCTCCTTTTAGCTCCACCCTCCTTCTGTTAGCTCCTCCTCCTCTTTCTGTTAGCTCTTCCTCCTCCTTCTGTTAGCTCCACCCTCCTCCTGTTAGCTCCTCCTCCTCTTTCTGTTAGCTCTTCCTCCTCCTTCTGTTAGCTCCACCCTCCTTCTGTTAGCTCCTCCTCCTCTCCTCAGCTGATAGTTTGTATAACTGTGTTTGTTCTGACCTACGAGCAGAGTGAGTGGGTGATCCACATGGCAGGACGTATTCTGTTAGCTCCACCCTCCTTCAGTTAGCTCCTCCCTCCTTCTGTTAGCTCCTCCTCCTCTCCTCAGCTGATAGTTTGTGTAACTGTGTTTGTTCAGACCTACGAGCAGAGTGAGTGGGTGATCCACATGGCAGGACGTCTTCTGGCCAACGACAGCACCATCCTGTCCCTGCTGGACCACAACCCTTTCCAGGGCAGAGACCCCCCCAGGTGAAGAGGGACCCTCAGCACCTCATTAAAACAGCTTCCTGTCAGATAGTATGGTCCTTCCTGCTGCGGTGCTGAAACATTTCATACCTGCACCTCCTGCTGGCTCCACTAGAGTCAAACTAAAAGAATCAAGTTCAACTAGAAGTGCAAACAAAGGATCGAATACAGTCATGGCCGAAAGTGTTGGCACCCCTGAATTCTTTCCAGAAAATTAAGTATTTCTCCCAGAAAATTATTGCAATTACACACATTTTGTTCTACACGTTTATTTCCTTTGTGTGTTTTGGAACAAAACAAAAAACGGAGGAAAAAAAGGCAAATTTGACATAATTTTAAACAAAACTCCAAAAATGGGCCGGACAAAATTATCGACACCCTCAACTTAATATTTGGTTGCACACCCTTTGGAAAAAATAACTGAAATCAATCACTTCCTATAACCATCAACAAGCTTCTTACACCTCTCAACTGGGGTTTTGGACCACACTTCTTTTACAAACTGCTCCAAGTCTCTCATATTTGAAGGGTGCCTTCTCCCAACAGCAACTTTAATATCTCTCCACAGGTGTTCAATGGGCTTTAGATCCGGACTCATTGCGGGCCACTTTAGAACTCTCCAGCGCTTTGTTTCCATCCATTTCTGGGTGCTTTTTGAAGTGTGTTTGGGGTCATTGTCCTGCTGGAAGACCCATGACCTAGGACACAAACCCAGCTTTCTGACACTGGGCCCTACATTGTGACCCAAAATCCTTTGGTAATCTTCAGATTTCATGATGCCTCGCACATAGTCAAAGCACCCAGTTCCAGAGGCAGCAAAACAACCCCAAAACATCTTTGAACCTCCACCATATTTGACTGTAGGTACTGTGTTCTTTTCTTTGTAGGCCTCATTTCATTTTCAGTAAACAGTAGAATGATGTGCTTTACCAAAAAGCTTGATCTCATCTGTCCACAAGATGTTTTCCCAGAAGGATTTTGGCTGACTTACAAACCTTTTGGCAAACTGCAGTCTAGCTTTTTTATGTTTCAGTGACAGCAGTGGGGTCCTCCTGGGTCTCCTGCCATAGAGTTTCATTTCATTCAAATGTCGAGGGAGAGTTTGAACTGACACTGAAGCACCCTGCGCCTGCAGGACAGCTTGAATTTCTTTGGAACTTGATTAAGGCTGCTTATCCACCATCCGGACTATCCTACGTTGCAACCTTTTATCAATTTTTCTCCTCCGTCCACGTCCAGGGAGGTTAGCTCCAGTGCCATGGGTTGTAAACTTCTTTATTATGTTGCGCACCGTGGACAAAGGAACATCAAGTTCTTAGATGAACTTGTAACCTTGAGATTGTTGATATTTTTCCATGATTTTAGTTCTCAAGTCCTCAGACAGTTCTTTTCTCCTCTTTCTGTTCTCCATGCTTAGTGTGGCACACACAGACACACAATGCAAAGATCGAGTCAACTTCTCTCCTTTTTATCTGGTTTCAGGTGTGATTTTTTAAATTTCCCACACCTGTTACTTATCACAGGTGAGTTTTAATGTGCATCACATGCTTGAAACAGAGTTTTTTACCCTCAATTTTGAAAAGGTGCCAATAATTTTGTCCGGCCCATTTCTGGAGTTTTATGTAAAATTATGTCAAATTTGCCTTTTTTTTCCCCTCTGTTTTTTGTTTTGTTCCAATACACACAAAGGAAATAAACGTGTAGAACAAAACATGTGTAATTGCAATAATTTTCTGGGAGAAATACTTCATTTTCTGGAAAGAATTCAGGGGTGCCAACACTTTCGCCCATGACTGTAAAAGTCATGCTTAGCAGAAGTCATTAGCAGCTTCTTGCAGTCATAATGAGAACGTCAAACTATGATTAAAGCTTTTTTTACTTTGTGTCTCTCCAGGTGGGTCAGAGGAGAACATTACAGGTACAAGTTCAGCCAGCCGGGCAGTTCCAGTGCAGCACAGGGCAGGTGGTGGCTGAGAAAACACATCGGGGCTTACTTTCCTGCTGTAGACCTGGAGGGACTCAGAGGCTACTTTCAGTCCAGGAACTGGCCCCACCCTCACAGGAAGCCATGAACTGGCCCCACCCTCACAGGAAGACATGAACTGGCCCCACCCTCACAGGAAGACATGAAGTCTAATGTGACCCTGTTCCAGTGAGCCAAGGTTTTCATGAACAACTGATGCTGATCCTCCATCATCCATGTACTGTACCTGGTGCTTCTGCTGTGAACAACTGTAAAACTGCTTTAATAAAGATCATCTGTAGAGGAACATCCTACCCTGTGGTTGACCTTTGACCTTTGTCAACCCTCCACTGTCCAAGAATAAAATGATCTAAAGAAACGTTTGCCCCAGAACTAAGTTTCTCTAAAAATAATTATTAATTAAACATTGTCTCTGTTTCTCTTCAAACTATCCATAACAAAATTATGTGTTATCTAGCATTTAGTAGTTCTCTAGCTTGCAGGTGCCAAGGACTGCTCCTCTCATGCACATGTGTATTATATACAATTAGGTCTGTGTATATTTGGACACTGACACAAATTTAGTGTTTTTACCTGTTTACTGAATCATATTAAAGTTATAGTTATATAATGTACATGGACATAAAGTCCAGACATCCAGCTTTCATTTGAGGGTACCCACATTAAAACTGGATGAAGAGTTTAGGAGTTTCAGTGGCAAAATGTACAGTTTGGTACATCCTGAGAAAGAACGAAAGGACTGGTGAACTGATCAATGTAAAAAGACCTGGGTGTCCACAGAAGACCACAGTGGTGGATGATGGCAGAATAATCTCCATGGTGAACAGAAAGCCCTTCACAACAGCCAACCAAGTGAACAACCCTCTGCAGGAGGTAGAAGTATCAACATCCAAATCTACCATAAAGACAAGACTGCATGAAAGTAAATCCAGAGGCTTCACTGCACGCTGCAAGACTATACAGGGTTAGGATATAAAGACTAATAAACATGAAGGGAAGTCAATGGAAGGTCCCCACAGGGTTCAAGAACAAAGTGTGTGTGTGCGTGTGTGAAAGAGGACTGTTAAAAGTGTAAAACTAAAACAACTTGTATTCTCTTCTAGCTGAGTTAAAGTTGAAACAGAAATGCTCTAAACTCACCTGCAGATTGATCTCATTCCCCTCCCTCCTGAGGGTTGTTGGGGTCTTTGTTGGCTTGGCTCATGGGCAGTTGTTTGTTCACACACAGTCTAATGAATTAGAATCAAACTATCTGGGATTACAATTACTGCTGTAAGTTTTAAAGCAGAAATGTGTCCGTTAAAAAAAAAACAAGATAGAACTCAACCATCGCTGATGTCCCCCATCACAGACGGACAGAGAGCATTTCTAAGACCCCCGCCTCAGTGACGGGACAATAAAACCAGAATACAGGCAGAAAAAACAAGAACAATGTTGAACAGAAAAGTGAAGGCTTTTACGTTTCCCTGCTTCAACACATTTGTTTTAAATGAATGAGTGATTAACAGGTTTCTGGAAAACCTGAAGACCTGCTGAAGAGCAGAAAAACCACTAAAACATGGTCTAACAGTGTTTCCCAAAGTTGGGGTCGGGACCCAAAGTGGGGTCCTGCAAAGATTTTCTGAATTATATTTTTGCCCTTGTTGTTACAAAGGAGTGAGGTTAGTACACTTAAAATGGATAAATTGTTACTATTGACCTGATACAAATGTTTATCATCCAAAAACAGTTGTGGGCACAGGTCTCTGCTACTGTTATTTTGTGGGTCAAAAGCTGAAAAGTTTGGGAACCACTGGTCAACAGGAGTCCTCTGGATTAACACAAATATAAAAGTGGAGGAACCTGATGTTGTTCTGGTGAGTTTCCAGTAGATGATGGTGTTCTCCAGGTACTGAGCAGACCCTGTAACCTGGCCAGCCATGGGCGGGGCTGACAGGGCCGGTCTCTGCTGAAACTTCTGAAAACTGTTTCTGGCTTCTGATGTTGAAATCTGACTACTTTGGGAGCTGCGCTAACTTTTTAAGACCTTTGTTTGGGGCGGAGTTAAGGTTTTCAATGATCCAATTAGAACACTACACAGTATCGCTAAAAAGTTTTTTAACAAATCAGATCTGTTGGAGGGAAAACTTTACTTCGAGACAAAAAAGAAGGAGACTTTTATCGTGCATCTGATTAAAGATGGGGAGAGAAGTTACAACATCTGTTTTGCCTCAGTAAAATAAGATTGTCACACTTTAATTATTAAAATTCAAGTCCTAAGTTTCTAAGGATAAATCATGAAATTAAACAAACATCTTCTGGAAAATATTTCACCAAAAAAAAAAAAAAAACAATACACTGCCATACTTCTTGAAATGTAACTTTGTGTATGAATGGTTAATTAAACAAAACGTAGTGGATCTTTTTAATGGCCTTTGGTCCTTTCTGTAAAGGAAAATGGATTAATCGGCATTTCCTGCATTAAGACATTAAAACAGAATTAAAACACAGAAAACATTTCTTTATCTTTTTTTCACATTTAATGAAGAATGTTGTCTTTGATCTTAGTCAAAGTGGAAGAGTCTGGTTACTGGGGCCAGAGATTTATGATCCTGTGGAGATAAGCAAACAGACAGTGCTTTTACGGTCACACAGAACTTGTGGGGGTTCAAGAATGTTGAAGTTGGCTGTGAGGAGTCAGGAAGTCTGGTTAAGAACAAAGCTGGGGTTTCCTCCCCCTCTGAGTGTTGTCATAGGAACAATTGAAATCTAATCAGAAATGATCAATTTTATGCAGGAAAGTCCTACACTTGCATTAGCCATAAGGGAACTGTGCATCGCCCAACATGGGACTTGAACCCATGACCCTGAGATTAAAAGTCTCATGCTCTACCAACTAGCTAGCTGGGCTCTGATAATCTTTGCAGACTGAAAGACAGATTTGGCACAAAGGAATCCTGCAACACAGCATCATCTTCCCTCATTAGTATAAGCATTTATCGCTACTCAGTAAGAAATGTCTCAAGTGCTTTAGGAAGTACAAAATCAGAATAACAGTGGATAGATACTAGGTATTTTTGGTAGCATGTGAATGAAATAAAGTCACTAAGTAAACACTGCTGACAATTGATGGGTACCTGACATGAGGCCACACCCACTTTTATGTTTGGCACACAGTCTCTGTGGCGCAATTGGTTAGCGGGTTCGGCTGTTAATTGAAAGGATGGTGGTTCAAGCCCACCCAGGGACACTGTCTTTGCTTTCCGCAAATGTCTCAAACCAAATGTTTGCTCAAGAATTGCCTTTCACAGAAATACATTCACAAGGTGCTGTATGTTCATTTACAGTATAAAAATGTTGGAAAGATAAAAATGAAACAGAAAACAAAATTAAACATAAGCAACGATAATTGAAACATCAAATCAAGATTATATATCTCATACATCCCATATAATACATGCCATTTGTCTACAACCAGCTCATCCGGGGGAACTCCAAGGCGTTCCCAGACCAGCTGAGGAACATGGTCCTTCCAGCGTGTACTGGGTCTTCCTCTGGGCCTCCTCCCAGTGGGACATGCCTGGAACACCTCACCAAGGAGGAGTCCAGGAGGCATCCCAACCAGATGAACCATCTCAACTGGCTCCTCTGGACATGGAGGAGCAGCGGCTCTACTCTGAGTCCCTCCTGGATGACTGAGCTTCTCACCCTATCTCTAAGGGAGAGCCCAGACACCCTGCGGAGGAAACTCATTTCAGCCACTTGTATTCTTGTTCTTTCAGTCACTACCCAAAGCTCGTGACCACAGATGAGGGTAGGAATGTAAACCGACAGCTTTGCCTTCTGGCTCAGCTCTCTCTTCACCATGACAGACCACTACAGCGCCTGCATCACTGCAGATAAAGCACAAATCCACCTGTCGATCTCCTGCTCCATTCTTCCCTCATTCGTGAACAAGACCCCGAGATGCTTAAACTCCTCCACTTGGGACAGGACCTCCTCCCCAACCTGGAGGCAGCACGCTACTGGCTTCTGGCTGAAGACCATGGTCTCGGATTTGGAGGCACTGATCCTCATCCCGGCTGCTTCACACTCGGCTGCGAACCGCTCCAGCGAGAGCTGGAGATCAGGATCTGATTAAGGCATCCTTGGCAGAGTCCAACTCTCACCGGAAATGAGTCTGACTTACTACCGGCAATGCGGACCAAGCTCTGGCACTGGTCATACAGGGACCTAACAGCCCGTATCAATGGGCCTGGTACCCCATACTCCTGGAGTACCCCCGCACTCCAGGAGTCCCCAAGGGACATGGTCGAACGCCTTCTCCAAGTCTACAAAACACATGTAGACTGGTTGAACTCCCATGCACCCTCCAGGATCCTGCTGAGGGTGTAGAGTTGGTCCGCTGGTCCACGACCAGGACGAAAACCACACTGCTCTTCCTGAATCTGAGATTCGTCTATCCTACGGACCCTCTTCTCCAGAACCCCCGGATAGACCTTGCCAGGGAGGCTCAGAAGTGTGATCCCCCTATAGTTGGAACACACTCTGCGGTCCCCCTTTTTAAACATGGGGACCACCATCCTTGTCTGCCAATCCAGGGGAACTGCCCCCGATGTCCACACGATATTGTAGAGTTGCGTCAACCAACACAACCCCACAACATCCGAAGCCTTAAGGAACTCCAGGTAAATCTCATCCACCCCCGGTCCCCTGCCACATAGAAGCTTTTTTTTTTTTTTTTAATAATAGGAGAAAAAGAAGAAAAAAGAAAAAAGTGAAATGCAATGAG